GTATGGTGGTTTCATATGCTTAATCGTTTGATGAGACATCTCCAAACCAGAGATATATTTTAACCTGATGTTTATTTGACAACATGAAAATATATTCAAAGGTCCACATTCCGAAATTTTACCTTAAAGCAAATATTAAATCATTGTTTAGGAGATTCAGTTATTCTATCCCAAACAGATATTCATTCGGGAAATCTGCAGTTTTAACTTCACACGGGGCGGAGAAGCTATTGGTATAAAAGCGGGCTTCTAAGCCTCAAGTGACGCGTGGAGACAGAAGAGAAAATTATGCTACAGTTTGGCCAGAGTGTCAGCTTGCTTGATGGCAAGTGGTCCGCTGATGGAGTGGAACCCCTATATCAAATAAAATACAAGAAACAAACGCAGGCAACTGATTTAGTAATACAAAGGAATAAGTAATCTGCACACTATCAGTTACTCAAATCCAATGTGAGAGGACATTTTCAAAGCTAAAGATCATAAAGACAAGGTTAAGAAATTCGCTGTCTGAGAAGGATTTGGAATCTTAATGTTGCTATCCATTGAAAATGAATTGTTAGATGAATTGGATGCAGAAGTAATTATAGGGAGATTTATCTAGTGGAGATAAACGATTGCTCTTAATACAGTGGACTGTATGCAATGCTCTATTGTGCTTTTGAACTATCTGTTAATATGTAAATTGTGCTGTAAACTATTTAAAAATATTAATCAATTACTTAAAATTAAAAGAAAATACATAAAAATTCCAACTATAACGCTCTGTATTTAAATTTAGTATCCCACGTATACTGCATGCACTCTCTTTTTGCACAAGAGTATACTCAAGGGAGATTAATCACTTGATATTGTATTCTTCTTTTAATCATCATTATTTGTGGAATGCTTACCGAGCGACCTTTCTCTAGTCCCGTTGTCTTTAGCGATATTCATAATGAAAGAGACTGCCGGTGCCACGTTTTATCTTCGGGGCTGGAAGCTGTGCCAAAATAAGAAGGTATGCCAGTACTTTTTCCTGGTTGATTATCTTTCTTTTTCTCTCTCTTAATTTTAGTTTCCAATTCTTACAGTTCGTTTTTTTTTCTCTCCCGACAAATTCGCAATGTTGACAGTCAGCCAAAACACAGTTTAATGGTACGATTTCAACATGGCGCTTCGAAGTCAACGTCAACCACGGAAAGTAAACTTGTCAGAAAAGAAAAGAACGAATGAATGATATTTTCTAACTTATTCATTTTGTATATTGTGTTTTTTTTTTGTTTTTTTGTTTTTTTAATTTTGGTAGAGCTTTAGAATTGGCACTGTGACCAGATACAATCATTTTCTTTTTATTTATTTTTTTTCATCTTAAAGAATTCACGGATATAATTTTTGGGTGCCGCTTTAGCGTGTGTCCTACAGATCAGTTTCTGCTTTAGTGTGGATCGCACCACCTTATTCGTATCCTACATTATTAAGGCATTGAAAACTTTGACTTTTTTCTCGATAAAAGACATTCAGAATGTTTTAAAGGATTCAAATATCTTGTTTTATGACTTTTTAATCAAATTTCTTATTTTATATTTTTATTTTAAGTTTTATAAATGGCATCTCTCCTTCCGTTTTTGCTTTTCCCCTTACGTTAGATAATGTAGGATACAAATGTGGTGTTAGGATACACTGATCAGTAGGAAACACGCTAAAGCGGTACCATTGTTTTTTTTAATTTTAAAATTGCTATGTAAATTGATCTCTCCTACTCAAGACAAAATCGAATATGCTTATACCACGTGACTTCCTCCTCTTCCTCCTCGTTTCCAATCAGCTACGAAATAGCATTTAATCATTTATTTTTATTTTTCAAAACTTTTTGTCATGTATTACTACTATCGATTAAGCACTCCAGAACAGGTATTTAAAACAAAAAGGTAAATTTTTACTATTACACCGTCTTATTGACCTAATGCGCATGCTCAATTCAGCCCTTACTTCACCGTCATTATTCTTACTTTATGTAAGCGAAAGGCTATGCGAGGGAGTTACAAAATATATTAAGCCCAAGCCCCCAGAGGGGGAGAAGCACCCCCAGGCAGTAGATCTCCTTCGGAAGGGAAATGGCTTTATTGTCCGGTGGCTGAGGTGTCACCAAAAGGGAAATGCCAAAGTGGCTTGGGCAATTTTTCCACGGTATTGACGTTAAACCCACCTTAAAACTCGAACTTGTGACACAATCGATAGCGACGTTGGGGCGCTGAAAAATACTCTTACTTCACCGTCATTGACCAGTTGACTACTTAAAGAGCACAAAATAATAGTCGGGTATAAGACGAGCGTAATAGCAAAATAAGACAAAAAATATATTCTTTTTTAATTTTAAGAGTGGAGGTTTTAGTTTGCGATATAAATTCACAAGAAGAATCATAAAATAAACAACCAAAGTAACAAAATTAAGAAAATAGAATACAGTATTTAAACCGTTCCAATTGTTGTCCTCATCTTTAATCCTGTATTCAAGACGTTTCGGCCGTTGAACGTTCCAGCTTTCTTCAGGTGATATACGTTGCAATTTCGAACCTAACCCTTTATTTAGTCCACAGGGTTAGATTGCACTAATTCCACAT